TTGGGAGGTGTACATGAAACATTTTTGTCAGGTGAATACATTTTGTGTTTTGACAGTTTCTAATTGTCAATTCAAATTTCTATTTTCAAGTGTTACGGTGTTACCAACTGCTACATACCTATTTCCCTACATTGTCAAAATTTATTTTATTTTTGAGAAAAAAAAAGGATAAAAACGCGAATTACAAAAAATAGCATAAAAACACGTTTCATAAGACTTAAAGCACTCATTCATTAAAAAACTCGTGGCTTCGCCACTCGTTTTTCAACTTGAATTCGTGCATTTCAACCGTGTCTTACGAAACTTGTTTTTTAATATACTATTGTCTACCGCATACGCGGCAGGTAAAGTACTTTGTCTGCCGCTAAATGCACAGTTTACTAGATAATAGCACAAACTTTCACTTTACTGCCGCAAATGGATAGCATAAAGTATGGTTTTGCTGCCGGTTGGCGATAAAATGTTTTTTTCTGGTTAGTGTTAGTTCTACATATCGTTCAATAAAAATATACCACAATCTAACGCTAAATAACAATTAAAACTAGAACTAACACTAGACCTAGAACTACAATCATTCGGGTTTAGAAGTCTTAAGAGACATGCAGCTAAATCCGAATATTTCTAGTTCTCGGTCTAGTGTTAGTTCTAGTTTTAATACAATAACAATATAGAACATAGTGACATCTTATGTTAACTAGCGCTACCTACCACTATCAATAGAACTAACATTAGACCACATTAGACCTACAACTATACCTTTTCAAGTTCAAATTGACATTAATCAAATTCAAAATGGCATTAAACAAAACCAATTTGGCAACTGTCATAATCAAATTGGCATTAATCAAAATAAAAATGACATTAATCCACATCAAATTGGCATTCAAGTTCAAAGAAACTATGATGTTCATCTGTAATTTTTATTTTATGTTTTCCTTCTCTTGGGGTTTCTTCTTGATTTTTTACCCATCTCAACTGTTTTTTTTGCAACACAAAGAATGTCAGCTAAATTGTACCAGACGCAATTCGTATTGTAAATGGCACAAATTTGACATTTTACGTTTGCTGCTTCCTTTTTTCTTAATATAAGGCATTTTGTAAATAGTTTGTTATCAGGGACACATTGTAATTGATTAATGTCATTTTGATTTTGATTAATGCCAATTTGTTTATGACAGACGCCAAATTGGGTTTGTTTAATGCTTTGTTTAATGCCATTTTGAGTTTGATTAGTTCCAATTTGAACTTGAAATAGTATAGAAACATTCAGACATGTTGCATTTTATGTGGGACAAAGTAATATTTTTTTGTGAAATTCACTGTATAACTTCTGATACCATAAAAAAGTGCCTATTACCAAGGACAGTAGAATCTAACAGGACTGCTACATCCATTGTATTTTTGTAGTCCACTACGGGTTGGTTGCCCGCACTCTACGTCACACTATTTGCCACGCCTGGTAACTCTCTGTGTTTTTAGAGGTTATATGATAGACATTAATACGTCTAAAAACATAAAACTTCAAAAATAATATGAATANGAACCATCTTCAGGAACCCTCGAATCTCGTCAATTTATTTTTAAATCTCTTGTGATAGTTAACATGTTAAAAATGTGCGTATTCCTGCACGCACATATTCCTGTCTAACTAACTTTGAACTTAACAGCTAATACCCTACAAGTAAAAAACACAAGTTCTTGTGAATTGAAGAAAAGAATTTTTTAACATGTTAACTATCACAAGAGATTTAAAAATAAATTGACGAAATTCGAGGGTTCCTGAAGATGGTTCTACTATTGAACCAAAACCGGTAGAATTAAAAACAAATAATCCATTTTTTAATAAAAGTACAAACAGAAGACTGTTATTTTATTTAAACTATATAAGATCACAAATTTTGACGCTAATAAGATTCACTGGTTTGATAATGATGTAAAAAACTGATAAACGGATATTAGATAAGATAAATTGTCAAAAATGAAAGACAGTTTCAATGTACTTTAACTGGTTGTAAAATTTTTTTTATTTTTCGTCTGACTAGTTTTGCCTTATAGGCATCTTCAGAGACTCTACATTGAGAAATTGTTATTTGTTTTACAATATTGTACTAATCCAAACTTAAACAAATTCAAAGTTTACAACAATTACTTACTCGTTAAAAATGTTTCTTGAAAATGATTTTTCTTGTTTCTCAAAACCTGCTTGATGAGTTTTCATTTCATTTTTAACAACGACGTAGTTCAACCATTTTAAACTGTAACGTGCTCGTCTTTAATTTTAAACGTTTAACTAATTTTTATGGCATATTTCGGAATTAAGAAATGTTCTACAACATAATCTGTCAATCCTATAGTTATTTTTTGATAAGATGGATATAACTTCACATTTTTAACGAGTAAGTAATTGTTGTAAACTTTTAATTAGTTTAAGTTTGGATTAGTACAACAAATAGTAAATGTGTATTGTAAAACAAATATTTCTCAATATAGAGTCTCTGTAGATGCCTATAAGGCGAAACTAGTCAGACGAAAAATTAAAATTTTACAACCAGTTAAAGTACATTGAAACTGTCTTTCATTTTTGACCATTTATAGATAGTTTCTTCACTGGTAACATGGATTTAATCAATTTTAACTCATATATTAGATAAGAAACTAACAGCAAATGAATAAATAGTTCAAATAACACACAAAGGGCAACTTGGACAGTAATTAGAAAATGCAACCCAATTCAAAGACGAGAACAGACGACTAGCATAACCATTTTTTGCGAATGTCGCGGACCAGCTTCCTCTATTTAATGATTTAGGTGAGATGTGTTTTTCCTTTGAGTGGGTTTCCTACGGTACAGTGCGCGATGTAATCGCAGAACTAAAAAATATAAATAGTTTTGATGTATTTTCTTTAAATGCCAAGCTGATCGAAACAGCCAGGAATCTTATAGATATTCCATTAGCTAAACATATTAGCAATTGTATTCGCACTTCCGTATTTCCAGACTGTCTAAAAATTGCAAAAGTTACACGACGTGTCTAATTATAGACTTATATCTATTATACCTGTAGTTAGGAAGATATTTGAAATTATTTTAAACTTCCAAATAACTTGCTATTTAGAAAATAATCAATTACTAACTAATGATGAGTTTGAATTTAGGAAGGTTGAACATGTGAAGTGATATAATAAAGTTTAAAACTTAGTCTTCAATAAACATGGGGTACCTCAAGGTTCTGTATTGAGTCCCATATTATTCTTAATTTTTATCAATGATTTATCGAAAAGTATGCCAACGCAGACAAAATGTATGATACCATGACATTAAATGTGTCAGCCTCCTCACAGAATTTAAGACAACAGATCGTGCCATCACACGAAAGCATTGCAAAATGGTTCTTCATCAATCAACTTAAAATAAATGAGTCTAAACACACGTTTTGTATTTCTCTCTTCGTCAACTTGATTCAAACTATCAATCTGAACCTATTAAATAATCTCGGTATCTATTTAGATTCGAAGCTAACATGGGATGAACATGTTTTTCAGGTAACAAAAAAATTAAACAAGACCATATTGTAGACGCACGGTTGTAACATTCTTGGCGACCACTGCCTTTTATAACTTTGACGAATTTTTTAGTGCTGATTTTAGTTCTATTGGCCAGATTGTCTTCTTGTCTATACTTTTTTGTAAAGAAATATTTGTATCCTTTAAAAACCACGAATAAATTGTTATTATTATGTAATACACACTTACATACAGTACTTTTTAATAATTATACTTTCAAATCGGAATACTAAAGTTTATTATATTGAGTAAATTTAGAATATCATTTTTTGGTTCAAAAATGATTTGTTTGAAAAAAAATCTCGTTAAAAGAAAATAAGAAACTTTTTTTTCGAAAACCCGACATACTTTCTTTTTAAAATCATCATTAAAACCATGTCATTCCTTTTCAGTCGACTCTACAGTGAGATGTGGTATGTTGAGAAGCCGTTGTGCTTTCGTTGACGAACAGAAATCGTAATAGCTTGATTAACTTGCTCTTCATCTTGTGTATCGTCGCGGAATTGCCGGTATTTCTAGTACAAGAACGAAACAAAAAGAAAAAGAACCCCGGTAGATATTGAAGATTGTCGTTTGGAAAGTTTTTTTTTTATTTTAAGAGACGATCTTCGAAAGTAACTGAAATCGCGCCTCCTCAAACGGTTCTCACATACTTCTTCATTTAAAAACTATGACTTACCGTCCCATTGTTAACTCTGAGACACCATCGGCGATTGTAAGAGAACGCTTAATTATCATGTTAATTATAAGATAATCCCCTCGTCTCGGGGACGATTTCGTTATTTTCAATGGAATAAATTAAATTAATTTAACCTAAGAATTTTGACGTTTAAAACGTCAAAAAAAAAAAATTTATAAATTATATTTATAAAAACCAACAAACTATCATAAATATCAATTTACGATGAATTTGTGGTTTTTGAGGACCACAAACTGATTATTTAACGCAAGGTAAACATTGTTGGAATTAAAATAATTATTTATTAAAGACCACAAGTGAAATCAAGTACGAACCAGTTTAAAAATTGAATCAATTTTAGTAGCGGCGAAGAAAACAATTAGAAAACGTTCTAAACTATTAGTTAAACGTAAAATGTTAAAAGAAACTTAATTGAAACTAATTACTAACCTCGTTATCGTCGTCTGTCATTATTTGACAGATTTCCCGAAACCATCCGAATAAAATCCGACGTACGCCGAAGTACGATTTTTTTTTTACCATTTTGGACTAATTAAATTAAGTCACAACACTTAAAAAGAAGATAAATCGTTAGATTGGGTGTTTAAAAAAATTTTAACATACCTTTTTTAAGTAAATTAATGATTTTCGTTAAGATATTGGATGGTGGTGTTGAAATGACAGCTACGTGATTTAGTATTGAGAGGTTAACAAAGGTGGCGCTAATTTGAATGTTATCAAAAAATAAAGCGGGAAATTTAAAATTTATTATTTTTATTTATTATTAACCTGTTTTAACTTAATTAATTTTACCTTATTACATAATAACATTCCGAATATTAATTCCAAATGGGGATTCAGCAGAAACAAAATAAGTCCCGGTAATTTCAGGATTAATATCTTCAGTGTACAAAATCTGGCGGTTATTAAAGCAAAGCCCAAAAACATAAAAAATAGCCGAGCTACATTCGATTGCGATATATTGCGGTTTATTTATGGTATTAATAAAATATTTATAACTTATCCAATGATTACAATAAGCTACAAAGAAAAAATTAACTTGATTTAATTAAATTTTATTTAATTACCTTGACCGTGATCTGTAATAATTTCTGCAACCGTACAACCTGGTTGTAAAGGTCTCAATGGATTAAAATAAATATCTAACGTTCCCATATTTTCATTAGCTCCAAAAATTAATCCATCTGTATGTATAACAACAGTTGATTTAGCATCAGTTCCGGTTAATCGTTTTTCCGGGGGTGCACCGTTATAATTAGGTCCAGCAGCATCCAAAGCCGTTATTTTAGCTAATTTTTCATTTGATAATCTAAAAACGTTCTTTCCAACAAACCCAGCTACGTGGCAACCCAAAGAATGAGACACAACGTGGACTTGATCGAAATTTAATTTCCCAGAGTATTTTAAAAACACTAAAGTTTCAGCTATTAATTCACCAACATCCGGTGCAATCTCTCTAGCATATGTGTATCCTTGTTGATCTAAGCGATTATAGTCAAAGCTAAAAACGTTACAATCGTATTTCTTTAGGTATTCATCGCGTATTTTAAGGTAATGGGGGCGAGTATGAGACTCGGTCCACCCATGGATAAGAACGATGTTAATATTTTTTATTGGGATTAACGCAGTATTGATGTTATCGATTCGAAATTCTAATCCATTTACGCCTGAATCTTTGTTGTATAGGTAAAAGTAAATGTTTGGGATAGCTTGGGTTCGATTTAAAACTGTTAAACCATCTAAAACAAGGAAATAATTTATTTATTAGATTAATTACAGAAAACTGTAAGTATATTTGGTTATATATATATAGTGAATTTCTAAGATGCAATATACAAAACAGCTCTAGTTTTATAATAGTACTGTTACTATATAGAACTAACACTATACTTAGAACTGGAATCATTTGGGTTTAGCAGCACGTCTCTTAAGACGGCTAAACCCGAATGATTCTAGTTCTAGGTCTTGTGCTAGTTCTAACGAAAGTGCTAGTGTAAAACTAAAACTAACACTAGATCTAGAACTAGAATCATTCGGGTTTAGCCGTCTTTAGAGACGTGCGGCTAAACCCAAATGATTCCAGTTCTAAGTATAGTGTTAGTTCTATATAGTAACAGTACTAGTATAAATCTAGAACTAACACTACACCTAGAACTAAAAACATTTGGGTTTAGCCGTCTTTAGAGACGTGCGGCTAAACCCATATGATTCTAGTTCTAGGTATAGCGTTAGTTCTACATAGTAACAGTGCTAGTGTAAAATTAGAACTAACACTAGACCTAAAACTAGAAACATTTGGATTTAGCCGCACGTCTCTCAAGACGGCTAAACCCGAATGATTCTAGTTCTAGGTCTTGTGTTAGTTCTAGCGATAATGCTAGTGTAAAACTAGAACTAACACTAGACCGAGAACATTAGACTTAGAACTAGAAGCATTCGGGTTTAGCCGCACGTCTCTCAAGACGGCTAAACCCGAATGATTCTAGTTCT